TTCAGATGATTCGAGATGAATGTTATTCGAAATGCTGAGAAGAGTGATCTAGAAACAGGTTGAAAATGTGCGAATAAAGTTTTGTTGGTGAAAAAATTCTTAACGAGCACGTTGTGGTGGTGTCAGTGAGTGAGTGAGTCAGCTAGTTGCTTCACAGCAACGGTGTGCAAAAATCACTTAAAAATTTTGCACGCTAAAATAAATATTGATGATAAGCGAAAACACATGAATGAAGAACGCATTATTGAGCCCTTCTGCTGATAAGCACCTAACGCACTCTAGACACATTATTACTAAGAGGATGATTATTGTTATGAAAAATATCATGCTATCTGAACAACACATTTCGAACGTTTTTATTAGCATATGACGAATTCTAAACGAGTGCCGTGAAATTGCATGACTGATTCTCAAATTCCTTCCGTTATTGACTGTATATTAATGAGTTTCTGGTTTCGCTTGGAAACTATTTCAAAATTAAAGTTTTTACTTCTGAAAAAGATTTTCAATTTCAAAATTATTTAGCGGAGCTTACAGATGTACTTTCGATTTTTCATAGGTGTGTTCTGCGTAAGCATTGATCGAGCGCTCATATTGAATTCAATCCAACATTTTAAGGATGATGCACCGATCAACAAAACAATTTGTCAGCTGTTTTCAATCTGTGCGCAGCATTCTTTTGGCCCAACACCTGGTGGCCAACGTATCGAAATTTGAGCGCAACTCAGTTTAGACAATTCTCCATTCAAAAATCCTCAAAAAATTGCAACAGAAGAAGCACTCCCCTCAACAGAGCTTGCTAAAAGTACTTTCGTGGACACAACTATCAATGTAAATCTCTGCCAGAAAATGTGGTCAGTTTGCATGGATACTCTATGATTTGCTCTCAACTCCAGGATATCAGCAACGAAATAACTTATTATTACTAGGAGGATAATTACGCGTTGTCGATGCAGTTTGGTCATTCAATTCACACAAAAATCATTGAAGATTGCTTGTGTGGTGGATTGATCAAATAAAAGATCACAAAGTGAATCGGAACGACAGGAATTTGCGTTTATTTGAAAAGCGAAAGTAAACAACGAAAATTGTGTCAATATTTATGATGATAAAAATTGTAATGGAAATGAAATTCGATGAAACACAATAACCTTCAGGTGAACAGTTCACTGTGTAACATGAGGAAAAACCCTGAACGAGGCGTTGTTGGATCGCTGAAATGAAATGAAATGACAAAACGAACGACTCAATTTGCAATAACATAACATTTTGAATTATTGATTCATCATATCATTATAATTCACAGTACGATTGAATTCAGAATATACGATCGCAATCAATAAGCAAATTATCCGAACGTTTTGGAAATGACTGAAAAAAGAATACATTAGCGGTTGAATTGATTGAAACGTGGCGGTGAACTACATTTGTGCGATAATGGCACAGCAAGAGTGGTATCAGTTGAATGATTCAAAGATATCGAATACAAGCCAACACTATCATTCAATTCACGATGGATGAATTCGGCTGAACTGACGATTCTGTCAGAGGTGAACGTGGAAAGCGCGACTGTACAAATGACCACAGCTAATTTTTGAAATGGCATCAGTTTTTGAAATGATTCACTGCTAATGAGTTTCGTATTCATCGCTACTTATCAGCTATCAGTTCTGACGTTGTCGCTTATCAAAAACCACATAAAACTGGTTCTAACTAATTTAAAAACTAAAACTAACCGTAATCGATTCATATCGCTCTTTTTTATTGGTACGTTTTGTAAATTTGATAAAAACACGTATAACACAGACAGACCTTAATCGCACACTTTCAGATACATGAACATGTGATCGTTTATTTTATTACAGCTTATGAAACATTGACTGCTTATGACATTACCATCAACTGATGCAACCAATTAACTAATTGCTCATGAGAATATCACCTCAAGTGTCATCCTCATCTCACTAGTTCAATTCAAAAAATAAGCACCCATATCTTCATGTGAATACTCCTCGTCTTAACTGCCTATTCTCTTGATTCANTTCATGTGAATACTCCTCGTCTTAACTGCCTATTCTCTTGATTCACCTCAAATTTCACAATCTTACGAAGCCTCCGACATATGAGGATTACACGTTGAGATGCTTTCAGTTCTGTTGGTGAACTAATAATGAACAATGGAATCACCAGCTCAAGCAATAACACAGTGACAGCTGATGATGTACGTAATGAACTTAAAAAATGGATTAAAATATGACTTGAAGTAAAACCGTGTTGAATAAAATCAAACACTAAAACAATAATAACAGTATCGGTTATTTTAGATGCAATTGATTGCGTCAAAACCTGTCCCTCCATCCAATTCAACTCGTAATTGGGTTCTGATTCATCATCAGTTCATTAATTCTCAGCAAGTAAACAAATACCGCAAACTGCAGATCTTATTTCATCATTCGACTATGTTGAGAGTGGAAATAAATAACATTTCACGACAATAATACAATAATTTTATGCTGCAGCAATGATATTTTGCTTGCAAAGCAAAGAATGCTTCCATTTTATGGCATCCATACGAATTCAGGAGTGTTTTCAAAGCCTAACTCTCAACGTTTCCAATCAGCACAACTTCGAGAGCGTGCGTTTCACTTCGAAAGAATTTTGAAGGAGGAAACTTGAGCTCTTTTACGTTTTTTTTGGTTTTGGACTTGAAAAATTTTTCATAAACGTGCGATAGCTTGAATTTATTATCTGAGGATCGTTTTACATCGTGTGAACTGCAGAGCATCGATACAAAGTGACAATTTCTAAACGTGAAAAAAGGAATGAAAGAGAAATTCGTAAAAANAAAAACAGAAAAGTAAAAATTGTTTTAATGAGAATGAAGAACGTTGCTCTCAGAAGTGCTCGTCTCAATTGTAAATACTGAATGGAACGCAATGTAACAAATATTATATTTGTATATTCCATTCATCAACATCTTTCATCCATTTCTAAGAGCCTCAGTTATTTGTCGGTATTCATCACATTCTCGCTCTCAGTTCAGAAATGAAATTATCGTCGACGTTTACTAAAAAGAATACTTTCGCAGGAAGTTGTTGTGAAGGCCTCTAAATATTATTGATTGTAATTGGTAAATCAATGCAGTTATGTCATGTTGTAGTCGGGTTGTACACATGTGCTGCTTTGTTTTGCTCTAATCGAAAGAAGCTGATTTGAGCGCCTCATTATTAAAGTGATAAAAAGTCACCTTGCCTGATTGATAATAATAAAAGTGAACGTTAATTGACTATAAT